CAATAATAATCATATATTATATATATATTTTTTTTGTTTCAAAACAAAATGTTTGCTAAAATCTTCTTAACACAATAACCGTGAAAGAAGAGGAATCAAGAATGCACGTCGATTAGTATTTAAGGTCGGATTGCATTTGTTTTTTTTATTATATCAATATTCTTAGTTACATGCGTTTGTTTCCTTTTTCCTTGTTTCTGATTATTATTCTTTTGCTTTTATTACATATATATATAATATATTCATTATTATCAATAATACAATATAATAGTTATAATATTTATATACGTTCTCATATTATTATTATTACTTTTTCTTGTTACTTGATCAATATATATATAGATTTTTTTTTATTTATAATAATTTAAATATCGTTTTCGTTTCTTGTTTCATCTCGTCCCAACTACTTCTTACTCTACGTCTTCTTACTCTTCTCCCAACGACCTCAACTTCTCCGCAAGTCTAGCTCCATTCTCAAATTGCTTCGCCTCCGAAACCAATCCGTTTAGTAGCGAGAAACGAAGCCGTAATGCATTTTGAAGTACATTATGATATGTATGTATTTTCCATCCTAGCAAGCGCCTTTTCAACTTCAACTATTTATTTTTATTCGTTTGTTTTTGTTTTGCTGGCGGGCGCACTTCCCTGCTCCTTTACAATATTTAATTTCATCTCAAAAAATAAATAAATAATAAATAAAACAAATTAGGAACGCGATTTGAGAGAAAAAATTTCAATGGACAAAAAAACGAACGGTTTCTGGATTGCTTTAAATTATTGCCTTTTTAGAAACGTCAAAGGGTCAAACGTCGCGATGATTCGAGGACGTCAGGATTTCGAGGTTAGGATTAACTATGAATTGGATCGAAATATGTCAAATTTTGACAGGCAAATCCTGACTTCAAAATTGGTTGCGTAAAAACTGCGTAAGAGATGTAGAGAAGTGTCAATGTCATTTGGCGGATGGGATGGAGGTTAAGGGATTATCTCATCATTGACAGTGGCGTTTTCCATTAAACCAAAATACGAGGTAACGCGATTTGACGTGCTTGTGTCGGCGGCGCGGAAAATGGGTATCGTCGCGTTGATTACGCGAAAATCGAAGCGAATCGTTTTTTGGGGAGAAGAGAGGGCTTAATCAAATACCGACAAATGCGAGCGAGCCGCGCATCGAAAATGAATAAAATGAAATGAATAGATAGTATTGAAATCGGGATACAAAAAAAAAAAAACAGGATGAATGAAAAAAAAAATGTATATATGAAGGAAATTAACGAAATATCATGGAAACGCTCGAGCTAATTCACGTGAAAAGCTTTTAAATAATTAATTTTCCGATCCGATCGCGTTTCAATTACGCCCACATATTCATATATTTTGGTGTACATGTATATTTAAATATTCATAAATGAGTGAATGGGAACGAATTTGCAGCAATCCAATAATGAAAACCGTTAATTTTCATCTCTTGACAATCGAAACTTTTGGAAATAATAATAATATAAATGAACGCAAATCTTCAATAACTTATAAATTAATCACGTTGTTGTTGTTATTGTTTCGGTGTTGTTTTTTGTTGTTGTTGTTGTTATTCAATTGTCTTTTTCCAACGCCCCCCACCCCACAACGAAACTTTCAATAACAAAATACGAAACGTAACCATGAATTATTCGAAACGTAAATTAGAGAAACTAATAAATCGAAAAACTTGCATTTTCTTCCCCTTTCTTTTTGTTTTCCACACGCGAATTTTACCTTCAATTAATTTAAGATTAAAATATTATTAATATATATATTATACATAATATTATATATATTTTGTTTTTATCTCTAATATAATCATCTGTGTGTTGTTCTTGTTTTCCTTTTCTTCTTCTTCTTTTGGACGGAAATTACGAGCGGCGTCTAACGGCGTCGCGACGCTTACTATAAACTTTACACAAAAAAAAAAGTCGCGATAAACGAAACGTTTTGTTTTTCTCATCATCCTCTAATCAAAACAACCCACCCACCCCGCCGATATCAACTGTTCCATTTGTTGAATGACTTGATTGTCTTTGGACGTCGCGAGCCGCAAGCGCCCGCTCCACGATTACGCAAAGAAAAAAATTTTTTTCTTTTTTTGAAGGAAAACCTGAAAACGGAATTGATATTTACGAGATTCGAGATTTTCCTTAAAAAAAAAAGTACGCTTTTCTTCGCAAACGGAATTCAACTAGCTTTCAATTAGATAATAATAGTAATATAATATTAATAATCGAAAAAAAAAATCATTTCAATTAAAGATTTTTGGAAAATCTACAGAAATAAATTGAACAATGTATAGTTATTAGTAAGAGAAGAGAAACATCTGGATTTCCTTTTCCTCTACGTTTCAGTTGTTGTTAATGTAGTTTTTTGCTGTTTTCTTTCATATATTTTAGATTATATCACATAAACGTCACACGAAAAGCACTACTAGATACTATACGTACGTAATTAATTAATTAATTTAATTTTTTTATATATTTTTTTTGTCTCGATTTTCTTCCTTACCTCCTCGAAATTCATTAAATTTACTTAAACTAATCAACTAGTCATTACTTAAGTATTAAGATTCTCATCAATATATAATATATCCATATAAATCTATGTATTAGTTCTTTTTTTTTTCCTTACACATTAAATATATATATATTATTTAATTTTTCATATATAATATTCAATAATAGTAATAATAAATATAAAAAAGAGGGGAAAAATAAATTAATTAATTTAAAAAAAAACTTCGGTTAAAATATTATACGAATTATAGAAAGAAGTTGCTTTGGTTGCGGGGAAACACGCTTTTTTTTTGTTGTTGTTTCATTACTTTTTCTCTAGTTGCGCAGCTTAACAATTGCTCTCGGGTGCAACTACGAAATCGTCCACCGTTTTTTGTTTTTGTTTTAAACTTTTGTTTTGCTCCATATCAACGAATGCAAAAGTTCAATTGTTTCTTTAAGAATATATAAATAAGCCTAAACAACACAAAAAAAAAACTCTACTAGACAGTATAAATCCTTACATCATATATAATTTTTTTTTGTTTTACTTCCTCATTTGGGAAAAGCCAAAGCTTCGGCCAATCAAGGTGGGAAAATTCAAACGAAACGAATTAGTGGGGGTGGGGGGCTTTGAAAAAAAAAATGTGTAGTGTTTTAAATGTGTGTGTTTTTTTGAATTAAATTTTATCTAATTAAGAAAGTGTGTGTTTTTTTCTTGTGTGATTAGTGTTTAGTGTAAAGTGTGTGTGTGTTTAAAACGTGTGTGGGGGGCGAGTCGTTAAAAATTGCTCCAAAAAAAAAAAGAAGTTTGTTGTTGTTGTTGTTTTCGTTTTCAAGGACAAAAAAAAAAGTTTGATTAACTTTTTCTCTTTCACTTTCTTCTTCTTTTTTTCTTTTTTTTTGGACACAACTCTTCACAAACTTCAGGCATATTTGGTATACACTAACACAGTTCAATGATATGTTTCAGTTTTTTTTTCTTTTCTTTTCATCTTCCTCGCCTACTGCGTCATTATTATTATTATTTTAATAATAGTTATTATTACTAGTAATTAGTTTAATAATTAATCGATTTAACGTTTCTTTTTTTCTTTTGCTTGCTTGCTTTTGCTTTCGCCGAAAAGTCATCGATTTTTGCCGAACGTGCGTCGAGAGTGACAAAAATAAAACAAATACAAAGAGAAAAAAAACAACTTTTCTCGATTGCAGCGCCTATATAACCGTTAATTCCTAACATTATTATACAAACATTTATACATATTATATAATATTTGGTTTATTGCTATATTAAAATTAAATAATTTTGAAATTAATTTCAGTGAAAATAAAAGAAGAGAGATATTTCATTCATTTTTTTTTAATTTATATATATATAACTCGATTAAAATTCATATTATCTCAAGAGGGTTTTAATTGAATCTTTTTAATTGCTCTAAATTGTTTACTTACATCGATAGTTCGGTATACTCTCTCTCTTTCTTTCTCTCTCATTATTGTTATATTTAGTTTAATTAATTAATTCAACTACGGTAGAAAGCTCGACGCGGTTTTAGAAACACTTACTTACTCGTTTTGTTTTTTCTTTCTTTTACAATTGATCTACATAATAATTGTTTCGAAAAACAAAAAAGATAAAATTCTCGAACTCAAGGCTCTCTCTAGAAAGAACTCAAAATCATTTGTTTAATTTATGTAATTATTATTATTATTATTATATGTTTTTTTTTTACTTCATCTTTTGTTTAAATATTTTTAGGGCACCTTTGGTTTAGCTTAGAAACGTCCTCTCCTCTCATCACTCAACTCCTCGTCTACAATATAATAATATATATTTATATAATTTTTTTTTTCTCTTCTCATCTCATTTTCATATATAATATATTTCATAATAAGTATATGCAAGACCTAAGTCATCCCAAATTAAGTAAGTATATAGTCTATTTACACGCAAGTTTCTGCTCTCTACTAGTTTAATTTATATAATAATTATATATATTTTTTTTCCCAATTAAAGATAAGTCGACTCTTCGGATATTTCTTTTTTTTTAATAAACGGAACGAATATATTATCGGAATCAGACTTTTTCGTGTTTCGTGTCTGTGTTGTTTTGTTGTTGTTGTTGTATATATTTGTATAAATATTTAAGTTTTTGGTACTTGATATGGACACCTGCAGGTTATCACGGAACTCTCGGTAATGATGAAACTTAAATATTGTATACATATATAGATTGTTTGGAAACAACAACGAAATCTTGCCTCCTTCGATAATTTTAATTAAAAAGACTATTGCTTCTGACTTAGCGCGAAAATATTCGCAGATCCAAGAGACCTGCTGGAATGCCGGATCGATTAGTTTTAAACAAAAATAAGTATATAATAATATTACGCTACAATCGTCCGCGCATCTTAAATGTTATGTATATACATATAAATATGCGTACGAATTTATATATACTTTGTTTTTTTTTGTTGTTGTTGTTGTTGTTGTTTTAGTTATAGTAATAAGTAATAAATTAAAAGTAAATATTTGAAGAAAACCTCGGTTTCTTCTGGGCTCCCTCAGCAATGGATCGTTGCTGCTGCTGCTGTTGCTGTTGTAGTAGGCGCCGCTGCTGCTGTTGTTGTTGTTGTTGCTATGTCGACGCGTCGTCGTCAAGTGCTTAGCGGCATGTACGCGTTAAGATTGTCCATTTTCCTGTCCTTTTGCTGCTGTTCCCTGCAACACGACAAACAGAAAAACGACCGATGCGTTTGCTATACTTCTTCTCACTATGGAAACCATCAAATATAAATAAACGAAACAACAAAGAACAGATTTTACAGAATTACAGACGAACGAAACGCAATAAATAAAGTAAATAACAATAATAATAATATAAAAATCAAAATTTACAAAACACTATATGTTGCATGTTTCTATTTTCTTTTTGCTCTCTACTATTTGCTCATTTTACAAACTAAAAGTATTAATGGTAATCTTCCCCAAAAGCGTATACGGTTTTTTTTTTTTTTTGCTCATGTTCAACTTAGCTTACCTATCGGGCACTTTCGCAAATATTTAGTTTTATGTTGAAAGGGGAGGGCAGTTACACCAAGCGGACAATTCGCAGTTTCCTTCAATGATAATTATCGATATTCGTATAGTTTCAGGTTATGTAATTGGTAAAAAATCTGATTGAACTGTCAAAGTCAATAAAGTTACACAATGTGTCAATTAGTCAAAAATCATTGGATATTTGTATATTTTCAGGTTATGTAATTGTTAAAAAAAAAATATGATTGAACTGTCAAAACCAATTGATTTGTCAAAATGGAAAATATCTTTTTATGTTACATAATTAAAACAAGATGTTTATAAAATAAAATAAATTGAATTTCGAAAGATTCAAGAACAGTTACAAATGATGTAGGTCAGAATGCAATGTATGTAAAAACTGTAGATACGCACGAGCTAGAACTATAAAATCGTAAAAGCCATGTAAAACAATCGATGCGCAAAGTGTATAGTGTACAGTGTATTCACAATGAAGTAAAGTAAACTTTTATATCGAAAGTTTTTACGGCCGATGCAAAATGTAAAACGAAAATGAAGTGGATACAAGTAAATCTCTTTTATGTTTTCGATATTGAATGCGCAGATTTAGACAATATACAAATTCGATAGTTTCAAATCCTTTGATTAAGAAATAAAGGCAAACGATAAAAATTTGAATAGAAATTGTAATAAGTAAGGTGCACAAAAATGTGGATATTAATTAAAATTAGTGTAATTAATAAGAACATTGCGTTCAATCATGTTTTTTACCAATTGTATAACTGTTTGGCTTGTAACTACTGTAAGTTGAAATTGTTATATCAAGTGCGAATGTCCGTTTGGCGAGTGAATAAGACCAGAGACCAGAAGAGAGTTTTGCTTTTGCAGGTGGAGGATTTTGAATGACGGAGCGGAGTGACTGTTTCGTGGGATGTCGAAGGATCGAGGAATGCGATGGATGTTTTTTGTTTTTTTTTGTGTGTTTTTGATGAGCGGGAAAGACAGAGACAGACAGACCTCCGCCGGTGCCATTTTGGTCTTGGCGTATTCAATGCGGATGGGGCCGCGATCGGAGGAGAGCAGGAAGGAGGCCTGCAGTGCGGACATCACCTGGGCTGCACTCCCCACGTCCTGATACTCCATGAAGGCGACGGGCGATCCGCCCTTGCTGTGCATGCGGAGGCGACAGAAGCCAGGGAAGCTGTGTGCAGAGAACAAGAACACACAAACCACATGTGGTGTTTCTCTAACTTGTGCACTCGGTGCGCTCAACAACAACAGAAGAAGAAAAAAAAAGAGAATCCAAGAAACAAACAGGAAAAAAAAATAAGAAAATGGAAAAAAAAGAATAAAAGAAAATCGAAACCCCATTTCAAACATCGGAGAGCTCCTTGGTATCGCCACCCCCTTACGAATTTCGGTCCCAAGAGACGCGACGAAGAGAAATCTATAGACCCAAAAGGTACAACAACAAGTAAAAAATGCACAAACACACACAAATCCCATCATCTGAAAGCTCTTTACGCGTTTCTTTCCCTTTCCCTCTCAACTGAAAAGATCATTTCAGAAACAACAATTTCAACCTATAAACAAATCAAACCTAATACTAAATATTTACTCTTTTCTTTTCATTCACTGCACCCACTAACTCTTTCCATTATTCATCATTCGATACCCAATAGTTTTTGCTTTTCCGCCTGAAAAACAAACTTTCAAAACTTTTTCCTTCTCGTAAATTGTGCCAAAAAGCGCAACTTTTCCCCAATTGCCAAAGTTTTTTTTTTTTGCTGGTAATCTTCGGACTTATTTACTAATGGATTGCAGAACCGAAAAAGTCAAAAGCAACAAAGTGGATTTATGAAATAATACTCAAACCTTTCAAGTATTTCCAGAAAACTTTGCTAATTCTTATTGGAAATACATAAATCATTTAGAGATGAAACCTCATTCACTTTTACAACTGTTAAAGTTAAAATTATTTGGAAACGAAATCTATTATACAGGTGGCACAAGAGTATTATATAAGTGACTTTATAACTCCGATCTTCATAAACTCCTTTTTTTTATGTTAAACTATAAAGAAAATGTCTTTGCTATTGAACTAACATTTAATTTCTATAAAAGAAAACGCTAATTTTTATGATAAAGTAAATAATGAAGTAATTAAACTGTTGTTTCTGAAATGTCTCAATGCGATGTTTGAAACGGGGATTCCTCTAACTTTTTTTTTACATTTTATTTTTTTTTGCAATTTCCTCGTCCGTAATCCTTCCCTTTTTGCATATTCAATAATCCGTTCAGGACGATATAGAAAAATGGTTTTCCGCGGCCAAAAGAGAGAATAACACACGAAAAAAGGAACGAAAGAAGTGGAAGTGGAAGTGTAATTGAAATTACGGGCAGCCGACGAATTAAATTATATTCGGCTGATTAAAATCTAATCCGATAATTCCACGGAAGAGCGCTCCTCCGCGTAAAAGAAATTACGCGAAGGGGGGAGAGGAAAAAGCCTTAAAATAAAAGAAAAACATTAACGCAAGAGAAAAAAAATGTAAGCAGATAACTTCCACTTCGATTAAGTGCTTAATACTTGTTTTCCATTAAAATTTTCGACTTTGAAGAAACAAAAATAAAGTCTGGTTCGTTTTTGATATTGGTTTAAATTGAAATTTTACGTTTTTTTTTAGTTAGTTTTGGATGGAAAATGAGAACGTACAGAAATTGCAAAAATTGGAATTTTAATTACGGTGCAAATATTAATCAACCAATCGTTGATGCCAGATCGTGACGAAAAAACAAACAAACGAAACTAAAAAAAAGGAACAGTAAAACAAGTTGTCGAATCAACAACATAAAAAAAAAAACATTATCACATTTATAATAAATATAGGTGTGAGAAAGAGAGCGAACAGTCAGCATGCAATTGGTGTACAATCATATGCTACCGATAAATATGTATATATATATAGATAAAACAAAAGGTAATAATTACATAAACAAAAGAAAACAAAGGTAGATAGAGTGGAAATAATTTCCGTAAATAAATTGAAAAAAAAAGACAACAAAAAAATTAGGGGAAAGCACATTGACAGACGCACACTTTGTGGAAGAGGTGTGCAACATACGAAGTGCAAGGTAAAGTGACGTTTGTTATATAAGATTCGGTAATGTAATGTTCGTTATAATAGACCTTTGGTTTTCGAAATAGAGATGGGGTAGTAATAGTAGTAGTAGTACATAGCAATTCATTAATTTCACTTTTTGCAGAGAATGAAACATACAGCAAACAGACGAAAACGAAATTATAACAGAAAAAAAAATAAAACAATAAACGATGATTAGACTATAAAGGAGTAAACAAAATAATAATAATAATTAAAAATTAACAACAAAAAAAAACAATTAAGTATTAAAAGATAATAGAGACAGATAGAGAGAGAGATAGAGAGACTTAGATTAGTAATTGTTATATTTTCTTGTTGGTACTTACTAGTTTGTTTAGTATGTATTTATTAGGAAGGCGGGGGCGGTTTTTAAGTATTTGGGCCAAAGGTCCCCCGCAGCTTTAGAGATTTTGGTAGCCTCTGCGCGGCAGCCCACCGCTGTTATCGCGAGGTTGTTCGTAACAGAAAACCAAAAAACAGACAGAGAAAACAAAACAAAATCAAAAATCAATTTACATCAAAGATCACTTTAGCTTGCACTCAAAACAAAACAAAAAAATAAATAAATAAACAGTAGTATCCAACAAATTTCAAAAAAAAAAAAAAAACATCAAAATAATAAATCGTACCAATCAAATGTTTCACATCATAAACAACAAATCTGTTGTTGCAAAATTTTAATTTGCAAAATATGTGCTCGTGTCGAATGCAATTGTTTCTTTTTTTTTGTGTGTTTAATAAATATGGTGTGGTGCGTTCGTGCGAGAGAGTGTGTTTGTGTTTTGGTTTCTTTTCGTGTTTTTTTTTTGTTGTTGGTGGAAATGTTATTTGGGTTTGTTGTTGTTTCGGTTGTGGTATCGTTGTGGGTTAGTCAATTATTATAATTTTGCTTTTTTTTTTTTGTTTATATTGATAAGTAATCTTTATTTTTAGTTTTTTGGAACACTGACCTGCTGAAGATCTCTTTGAGCTCGTGCTCAGAGACGAACTGGCCGAGATTTGCGACGAAGAGCGTGGAGCACGGGGGGTTGTTCACCCCCATGCCGGGCTGCGACGATGACGATCCAACTGGTGACGCCAGGGCCGGACTGGGCAGGAAATGGGGTAGAGATGCCGCGTGCACTGAAGTCAACGCGGTCGGATGGGGCAGCGACATCGGGGGCTAAACGTGGTAGCAGCAGCAGCAGCAGCAAACAAACAGAACAAAAAAACACGAAACTTCTTTTAGTCAAGTCGACGCCTCATTACATCCTTCCACAGAGAAATACGGAAACGTCATCGAAAAAAAAAACAAGCGTACACACTAAACAATATCGGCCATCTTGACGTAACCCAGGACTACGTTATTAATTTTCGCAATAGGCGCTTGCTCCAAATTCAAATCGAGATGGCGACATCCTCTACCTCAAACAATATTGTTTATTCACTTATGAAATGTTTTAAAGTTAATGTTAATTTCAAATAATTAATTAATTAAAATAAAGCATTTGATCTCGTCGTGTATACAATCACACAGATAGAGGACGTGGACAAATATAGATTACGTGCGAGCATTACTATTAGATGGAAACTCAAGCTCGGTGCATTTCAGCGTTTGACGGATGACGCTGTAAACTAATTATGCAGCGCACCTGTCACTTCAATATTTGACGTTCGGATTCGATAACTTCAATTATGCATTCCGGCATACAATCCCGGATCAAATAACAATTGAATCATTCGATGGGATTATTAATAATACGATAATCCCAGTGAAAGTTTACCTTCTTCTAAATAGCTAAACCAAATAGTAAAACTTAATTTTTTGTTTGAAATAGTGTTGCATATATATAGTGGATCAAAGTAATGGGTGTTCGATCTAGGTCAGCGGTTTCCAAACTTTATGCTACTACGCCTCCCCGAAAAAAAAAAATTTTTTTCGCGCCTTCCCGTAAAAATAATTTTTTTTCCGCGCCTCCCTTACCTTTTATTGTTTTAATAGATTAAATAATATAGACACGTTTTATTTATTTGAAGATATTATGGTATGAAAATTAATTTATTAAAAATTTTTGGCGCCTCCCCTGGCAAGAGTCCGCGCCTCCCAGTTTGGAAACCCCTGATCTAGATAAATCCAGTCAACAGTTGAACTCTGTTGTAGGTGTATGTGTTACGTCCGTGTTTTCGTTTGATTCAATGGATACGTGTATTCCTTATGTACTCGACAAAAAGGGGATTTGGCGCATTTCATATGCAAAGAACGCGCCGTATAGATCCATCCATCTTTTAAAGTAGGTTACTATAAAAATCCGCAATTTCAAATACCAAATCCAACATATTCAGTCTTTAAAGATGACATATTCGCATCGAACGAAAACTAAATGTTTATTCATATTGACCCGTTCTATCAAAGCAATGCAACGAATTGAAATAATATTTAGATTTTCTTTTGAAAATATGAAATTCTGTTATTTTCAAAAGTAATGTAATTGCAGTTGCATAAGTGTTAGTTAATTCGATGGAGCGCCATCTCGATTGAACTAATAATATTTAACTATAATAAAAAATAATAATATTGTAATATAACTAAGTGTTTGTTACAAGTGTGTGTTTGTGTGTGTGGGTGCATCGAGAACACAACAGTTAAGTTTCTATGGCATTCAGTTGTGTTTGGTGTACCGTTAATAATACCGTTATTTTAGTTTGTAGAATAGAATTGAATATTAATAGTAAAAATCAATCAAAATTAAGTAATTAATTAAATAAAAAAAAATATATATATAATCAAAACAAAAACAAGAAGAGAAGAGATTGAGACTAACATGGTGGTGGACTTGGGCGCCTGCTTGTTGCAGCTGAGAGTCCAGAGTTTTGTCTGTAGATAGTCAAAGATAGGAACGTACTGGCACCTGCGGATGAAGCGCCGGATGCACTAGGGTGGCGTGCTGCAGGGCTCCCGGTAGTTCAGCGGCGGCCGCAGAGTAAGCCAGCGGATGGTGCCACAGTTCCGGTCCACCCGGAAAGAACGGCCCGCCGAGATCTGGAAATGCAAAAAAAAAGAACGCGCATACACACAGATGGCGTGGATTAGTCAAAGTTGATTTGTACGATGGTTATGTATTCATACACACATATATTATATAATAGTATTAACAGGAGGCGATCTTCGCAAGCGTTTTGTTCTAAGTCTATGTATACAGTATTTATATATATAGAGAGAGAGAGAAGCTACATGTTAATGGTTGAAGATGAGTCGGATGAGGATTATCGCTAAAGTCTAGTAGTAATAGTATTATCATCTATGAACATGGGTGAGGTGAATGTGTGTTAGTAATGTACTGATTTCGTACACTTTATCATGTTTTCTTACTATTGCAGGGAAGAGCGAGTGGAGGTGTTGGGTATTTTCAAAGAGAGAGAGAGAGTTAGAGTTACTTACGTCCTGTGAGGGGGTGCATCAGAGTTGGGTGCGTGTTCGCTGCGTTAGCGGCTTGCTGTTTGGGCTTGCTAACCTTGGTGTTACTTTTAGCAAACTCCAGCCGGATGGTCTGTGGCATGTCCGGGTCAAACCGTACGCCCTGCTGCAAAATTGCGGACAACAAAGAGAAACAAGGGTGAGTGCCAGAATGTCGTTGCGGTCTTAATTTATTACGAAAACAAAACAAAACAGAAACAAAAACGACTAATTGGGAGGGAGGACGTCTTGATGCTTGAAGTAAGGTCATCATCGAGCTCTAAGGTTTCTTTTCATATCTATATATATATTGAAAGATAGATAGAGAGAGAGAGAGAAATAATAAGTACATCGAGGGTTAAAAGTAATTAGCGCGCGTGATTTCAAGCATTTGTAGAGTAGTCCGGGGATCGCAGACGGGCATGGATTTGTTGCTTTTGTTTCATTTTGTTGTTGTTGCTGCTGCTGCTGCTGCCGTCGGGTTATGTAAACGGTGTGAGTTTGTGGGGGGGCGGCGGCGGCGGCTGCGAGGGGGTTCAGCGGCTGCGGGGATTCTGGGGGGAAATACTTTGTGGCACACGTGCTGTGCATGCTGCTTATTTATTAATCGTCACTTTCATCTAGTCAGAAGCGCACCCAGATGCAAAATAAAGAGGAAACGCATTGCTGTTTCTATAGCGACGACAAACGAATACAACTTGGTTTTTTTTTCCACACAATATTTGAACGAAACTAATGAATAGTTTATTTTCATAAATTCATGATTTAGTTTAATTTTGTAGTCTACTTTCAATTAAAATATAAAATATATGTCACTAAGTTATTTTAATTAATCATTACGAAATTAAATCTGTAAGTTGGTAAGCGTAACGAAAATAGAAGAAAATCATTGAGTTTCTATGGTAACGTCGATAAACAATTTGACGTTTCTTGTGGAAAATGATTCAAAGTTTTCCGGTTTTTATTTTGCCTTTGGGTGAGTACCACTTCTTCATATATTATATTGAGAGGGGTTCGAGGAATTTTTGTTTTTGTTAAATGGTCGTTAGGTGATGCTTTTTGCTCCTCCATCCAGCTTGCTTGTCGCGGTGTTTCTCTAATCATACCCAATCACTCTGTACGCTCACGTCAAGTTTGTACAAAGAGCAGCGGTGTTTTATGTGTTTTCGTGTGTGATAGAGAGAGATAGGTAGATATAGATATATGTATATATATTTAGTGATGTTTTGTTTGTTTGGTACCCACCTGGAGGTCCTGTTTGGCCGCCTCTGCTCCGGCCCTGGTGTTGAACGTCACGAAACCTACTGGCTGCAAGTGTTTGTAAAAAGAAAATACGGTTATCAGAATCAGCTGCACGACTTCTTCGAGGGTCGATTGATTGGGCTATGTTGGACTTACCGAAGCTGTTTTGCCGTTCTTGCTCGTCACCTTCAGGAGGGAACCCTCGTAACCCTGCGAAACCAGAAACAATCAGTGCCATGTTTTTAGGGGAGAGTTCAAAGGTACGTTGATATTGTTATTGTGTCTTCTTTTTTTTTTACCTCGTAAGCTCTGAAGAGCAGATACAGTTCCCGGGGCTTTGCATCCATCGGCAGACCGCTCACGAACAATGTCCGCACCTGGAACAAAGCGAATATAAACCAATTAATTCCATTCAATCCGAAATTGGGGATGGCAGAGGGACGGGAGTTGTGCGGTGTAGAGAGAGAGAGATAGAGAAGAGCGGAACAATAATCGAAACCGCACCCCTTTGGAATTCCTGACCCGGCCAGGAATTAGTTCAAAACCACCTCATCCGCTCACACACACTCTCCTCTTGCAGCCACCTACGCCAAAGCTAGGAATGTTTAACGGTGCTTTCGTTTTTGTTTGCTCATCCATTTCTCCTTTCCCGCTATTGCTGCTCTTTATTTGAAGCATCAATTGCACGCGCTAACAAACATCCGAAGCCAATTGGAGGCGATCGAGTTTATAAGTGCGCAACTTTTAAGCGGCTTTTGCGGGGATGGCGAGAAAATTGATCGCGCGCTCGTCGTTTACGTTTATTTTCCACTCAACTTGAAACCCGTTTGCAATTTGTTTTTGTTATATTTTATTTTTCTAGTTTGAATTTACCGCCAATTTTAAAGTCGTTTTGCGGTCATCCCTCTTGCGGTAATTGTACGTCGATGCACTGGAGGTATGTGTTGGTAGGTAGGGGTTGAGGAGGAAGAGGGACGGTTTGTTACGACCGCACGTTTAGAGCCCATTGATCCGCTTCGACCCGCGCTATTAAACAATGCACACGTCATGCGGTGAGGAAACGAGATAATAATGTGGAATTATGCAACCCAAAATAACTCAATTTGACTTTTTGCGAGTGTCATGTAAAGTTATTAAAAGTATGATTAATATTAATTAGAAACTTTGTGCATATTATTCTTTTTAGTAATAGGGCTGCAACTTATTATACGTTTTATGTAATATTATTGATTGGACACTTTACATAATTTGTAAAGATTTAAATAATTTAAATAATTATAAAAAAATATAAAATGATGATAATGAAGTCACGTAATTAATGTATACCACCAAACTCGCATGCAAACTTTGATTAGTGTCTGGTAATAAGGTGGCAACTTGTCATGCAACATTTAAGTTATTTGTAAATAGTGTAATAATCTTGTAGAAATGCGTAAATTAGGTCAATCAATAACAAAAAAAATAAAGATACAAAAATCGATTCTACTGAAATATATTTGTCAATTTATTTTTATATCTCAATGAAAATTTAGTTCGCATTGAAATTATCAAACCGTATTATAGTGAATCCGCACTGTTCGAAGCCGCATATATTGCTATATGTATATTTAACCGTTCTTATTACATATGTTAGAAAACCGGACTAATGAAGGACTATTTGTCAGTTTTTTTTTGTCGCAATGAAAATTTAGTTTGCATTGAAATTATCAAACCGTATTATAGTGAATCCACACTGTTTTAAGCGGCATATATTGCTGTATGTATATTTAACAGTTCTTATTATATCTGTAGAAAACCGGACTAATGAAGGACTTTAAAACCGCAATATGTTAAATATGATGATGAAGTTATGGCAGCTAATCTTGCTGATTGGTGGGCGAGTATATGATGTTGTTGCTGTGCAAAGAATGGTTGGAAGGGGATGATGTTATTAAATAATTAATAATACGGTTGGCTGAATTTGCATGAGCGGGGGGGTGGAGAAGGGAAGCTAGTTGATAGGGAAGGGCGTGTGCGAGAGATGGGCAGGGTCGACAGATATATACGTTATAAATAATTTAAACCAATTAACCTGTCTGTTGACGGGACAGAGACCGAATATACCGGAAACGTCCCATAGTTGGCGCTGTGCACACGACCCGGCGCCTCCGCCGCCGCGACGGACGCTGTCACCGACATTTACATCTCTCGCCATTTCCGGTCGGCCCCCATGTATTATATAATACAGCCGGCTAATGGCACTTTCGGGTCGCCGTCAATCACCGACTACCGAAACCCACACCCCCGCCATCTCCCGTGCACACACACACACACACACGCCATATCTTCGGCAGGGATTTTAATAATTAACACAAAACACAGATCTCCACTCCCGGCCAATTTTCTAAAAGCTTATACACTATGCATTATCTCTCGTTCCTCCTCTTCCCGTTATTTTTTTTTAGGTTCTCTGCCTATCCCTATATTTCGAAAAGGGGGAGAGAGGCGACGGGTCAAGGAACAAAATCACCGTCATCATCGCCCGACTCGATTCGTTAGAAATTAATAATGCAAAAGCAAGCATTCGCGCTCTCATTTTAAATTAATTTTAATTTAAACAAGTTATCATTATTTCATTTACGACTAAATCTACATGCATTAGAGTAATTTTTTTTTCATTCACGTATAAAAAAACTAAAGCAACTAAAGTTGTTGGTCAAATAATATGCAAGGTAGTAATATAATGCAGGCTTTTGTTGAAATTGTGTTTCGTCGAAATTAATTTCTCAACTAAAAGAATGAAATGCAATTATATGCGCACGTCGATCTCGGGTGGCGCGAAACACAAAGGATATTAGCGGGTATCTCTCTATTTATAAAGTAATTCGTAGAATTAATTAAATCCTACTCTCGCAGTAATATTAAATTCCTCGACGACAAATGCAGATAGAGCAGACGGTACTTCTGGCACTCTGTAATTTATAAAAAAAAAAAGATTCATAGTTTCTCCCATTTTGGAGGAAAATAACTGCCAAGATGATGACGATGTTGATTGTAACAATGCAAGTTTCAGTTGCAGCAACTTCCTCGTCATTATAGAAATTTGGAAACATATTTTATTTTAGACTGTTTCGTTTAGTGTATTATTTCGCGATTCAGGCAGCAAGTTCGAATTTTAATTTGCGTAAGAGCTTTGCGGGTTTAATAATAAAACGGGTGGCGTCGCGTAAACGGCGGCGGCGATGGAGGAGGGTGAATGTAGAAGGAAGAGGCGGAGGCGCCTGGCGCCACGATGACGAGGACGTCGTCTGCACACGTAAGACCGATCGATCGCGTTCCACCTGGTATTTTCCATAACGCGGAATAACAAGGAAGAAAGGAAAAAAAAGTATATATAAACGGAATAAACCTAAAACGCAATATCGAGTTTGATGATCCGTGTTGTTCCGAGAAAAGGAAAGAGTTGCCGATGGAAATGAATAAAATGAAAGAAAATAGTCGAAGGGAAACAAAAAGAGGGAAAACATGTTTCGCAATGTTCATTTCCCCGAACGGCCCTTAGTTTATTCAGCTGCACTACACACCTCGCCTTCCCTTCGGCTGTGTGTCAGTCCGCTTTGTCATTATATCATCCCGCGCCTCTTTCTTTCTTTTTCACTCTTTCTCTCTTTGTATGCATGCATTTATCTCTCTTTCTCTGTTCAACTCGCGCTCGCGTCACCGAAGCCGAGGTATTTGTATAAAATATGCAGCACTCGCGGATGCATTCAACCTCTCCCACTATCTCCAGTAGCAGCAGCAGCAGCAGCAGGAGAAAGCAAGCATCAAGGGGTTGCGCGGGAGGGTGGACGGTGGTGGATCACGGTTGAAGTTCAATCCGGGACGGAAATGGGAACGAGCCGGAATTATTAAGCGTTAATCTCGATTGCTTACTTTACAGCGTGCCTCGTCCTCCGCAATTACATTAATAAAGGGGCTGAAAGGGGATGCGCGGGTTGGAAATGAAAAGAAGGACGAGGCAGGGAAGGAGGAAGGAAGGAAATGAATACGAGACGTGCAGAAGTGGGAGAGGAGGAGAGGGAACGTAATAAAGTGGCGAGACGCGAAAAGGAAGGACACGAAAAAACTGTCCTCCTCCAGGCGCCAACAAGTCTGCGCCGCACCGAATGTAAGAACAAAAGGAGAACGCTTCGCTGCTGCTGCACTTCAGCTGAAATCGGATCGCCTTTGCCTTTCGTATTTTTGTTTTCAGACAAAAGTTTCAGGTTAGTTTCCTGCTGACATTTGTAGTTTTTTTTTATCAAAACTGACACCACCCTAATTATTAGTGGATATATATTTTAAATCAATCAAATAATTTATTTCAACTCATTGTATTTGTTTTGTAGTCATTTTGAACGAATTATGTTAAAACAAAATAAGAAACTACAAAAGATATAAAGTGTTCAAGTTAAAATCTTTACGTTCTTAAATTTGCATACTTTAATCAACAGGATGCAAACTATGTTAGTGGAAGAACAAAAATTAATCCGCGAATCTGCATAGCGGAGATGTTGAAAATCCGGTCTTCAACATTATTAAATAAATGCACAAAATATTTTTTTTACTTTTATAAACATCCATCATATTCACAAATTTTAATGTAATTTTTATAAGTATATTGCAATTAGTATAAAAGAAAACTTGTAATTTGTAAAGACGATAATTGATAAAGACGAAAGATTGTTTTGCGAAACTTTTTATCACTGCTCTTCCCTAAGTAATGAATCTTTAAAAGGAACGAAAATATTCGGTAAACCGATTCTTGGGTAGAAAACGGTTTCAGTCTGATTACACGGTTTGCATTTGTGTAAGCCCTTCATGTCTTCATATAAACCCGCAAAACCATCCCCCATCTCCTCATAGCTCCGCACCGTTCGACCTTTTCCATTACTTTAATTCGGCTTTTCACCGTTCCGTTCAGTCCGTCGGTGCGATTCGATTCTGTGCTTGGGTTTCGTCGGTTCGATGGTAATTGCGGACCCGAATCGAATGCGGGGCACGTCCACGTCTGCATTAAGGGTTGCAGATTCGGACGCATCAGGGTTGGCGTGTGTTTAGAGGAGTGGATGGAGATGGGGGGTGATTTTGCGGAAAAAGACTATTCATACGAAATCGTTGGTCGACGGAGAATCGAGCATGTATAAAAGGACGCAGCGGAATGTAAGTGTGTGTGTTCCATGTTTTTTTGTCCTTTTTTCTGGGGTAAAAGCGAGTACGAAAATCGATGCTCCTCCTTGCGACGGGTGAAAACACTAAAATGCATCCGTGCATACCAACAAAATAATAAAAAAAAACTGAAACTAAGCATGCATGGGACTTTATTGGAAGGCGGAATGAGACGGCGGGAGTAATAAGAGAGAAACTCGAGATTGTTTCG